GTGTGTGTGTGAGAGTGTGTATCTGTGTGTGTGTGTATCTGTGTGTGTGTGTGTGTGTGAGTGTTTGTGTGAGAGTGTGTATCTGTGTGTGTGTGTATCTGTGTGTGTGAGTGTGTGTGTATCTGTGTGTGTGTGTATCTGTGTGTGTGAGTGTGAATCTGTGTGAGTGTGTGTGTGTGTATCTGTGTGAGTGTGTATCTGTGTGTGTGTGTGTGTGAGTGTTTGTGTGAGTGTGTATCTGTGTGTGTGTGTATCTGTGTGTGTGAGTGTGTATCTGTGTGTGTGTGTGAGTGTGTGTATCTGTGTGAGTGTGTATCTGTGTGTGTGTGTGTGTGGGTGTTTGTGTGAGAGAGTGTATCTGTGTGTGTGTATCTGTGTGTGTGTGTGAGTGTGTATCTGTGTGTGTGTGTGTGTGTATCTGTGTGTGTGTGTGTATCTGTGTGTGTGCGCGTGTGGTGTTGGTTGTTGTTTCTGTGGGTCTGTTGTGTGTGTGAGTGTGAATCTGTGTGAGTGTGTGTGTGTGTATCTGTGTGAGTGTGTGTATCTGTGTGAGTGTGTGTATCTGTGTGAATCTGTGTGAGTGTGTATCTGTGTGAGTGTGTATGTGTGAGTGTGTATCTGTGTGTATATCTGTGTGTGTATCTGTGTGTATGTGAGTGTGTATCTGTGTGTGTATCTGTGTGTGTGTGTGTGTGAGTGTGTGTGTGAGAGTGTGTATCTGTGTGTGTGAGAGTGTGTATCTGTGTGTGTGTGAGTGTGTATCTGTGTGTGAGTGTGTGTGTATCTGTGTGTGTGTGCACTTGGATGGGTGAAATGCAGAGCACAAATTCCGAGTATGGGATGCCACACATCAAGTCACTTTCACATCATGTTATTTAATGATTACCATAATATAGCATATTTACCTGACACTTTATAAAGTGCCACATATTGCAATAATGGTTGTTTCCAAAAAACATCAGCAATAAAAAATACATTTAAAAACATGATAAAAGTGAATCAGAATTTGACTGATAAAGTGCTTTGTTTAATTTCTTATTTAAAGGTGACATATGATGAAAATCTGACTTCTCCAGGTGTTAAGAGCTATAATCAGGTCTCCGGTGCAGCTACCAACCAAAGAAACGTGAAAAAGATGAACCCAGTAACTTAGTTTTGGGAAGCCTTTTTCTGCAAGCGTCTGAGAAAACCAGCGCGTCTGATTTCGCTCTCTTGGTGATGTGACAAAGGGATCTCATTATAATATTACCACCCCTTAATCTGTAAATTTACACCCACGGCGCCGACACACACACACACAGCTGCTGGTTAGTCGTTAAACAGACAAACAGCCTGAGGAGAAACTGTTGGCAGATGACTAGATGACTCGGTGAGGTTATAATACCCTTCATAAATGCTACTCAAATGACTCCCAACGTACAGAACTGAAGAATAACCCAGAGAGTGACGAGTGGACGACTACATACTTTCAGGACGTTTGAATCTGTTAGAGATGGAGAAAAGAATCAGCGGAAGCCTTCAGTAAATGCAAAACATGAACAATTTATTACCATTCAGATGTCCATTCAGGTAAGAAGCATGACAAAGACATTAGAAGAATTCAACCAAACAGAGCAACACACACAAGTCCCATCACTAGAGATGTCAGTAATAATAATATTAATAATAACAATAATAATATCTCATGCCAAGCACCTTTCATCTGTACCGAGGTTCACAGTCGGAGGTCTCACCGGGAGAAAGACAGAAGGACAGAGAGCTCACATCTTTGGAATGATTCCCTCCAGTAAAGCTTCTCTTCCCCACACGGATGCAGAGGAAGTTCAGTTTCCTTCAAGGGTTCCTGACCCCGTTATGACCCACGTTAATGAAGCAATCGATTAAGACAGAGAGCTGCAGTGTGAAGCAGCGCCAGGCTGTTCCGCACACAGATAAAACACCAGACTCCAGCTGCCGACTCTGGTTCACTCGCTCACTGATGGTTTCGGTCTCCACCAGGAAGCACGAGACTGTGCTGCGCTCTGAATGAAGGGGATGGAGGACAAACACGTCAGACTGAAGCGGTTGCATAGTGTGATGAGATCCTGAGCGACTGAGACGGATGAACGTCCAGACACGCTCCCATCTCGACAGGAATCGGCCGAACCAAACGCAGAAGATCCGTCTGGCTCACAGTGTATATTTAGACTTGCAAGCAATTAGGAGTTTATATATCGCAATTCTGATTTTTGTTCTCAGATATAAACTGGAGAAAAGTCAGAATTGTGAGATAATTGTGAGTATTTCTTTTTGTGATTTTAGAGTGATGTGAGCAGGACGTGTTCTCGAGCGGTTTCAGCTCTACAAACAGACGGCAGTGACGCAACAGACTGAATACACAAATAAAGCAAACAAGCCTGTTTTTCAGTCAATACAGTTTTACTAGACAGAGCAGCGTCGGAGAGACGTATAAAACACACACACAGCGCTCTGATGCTCCGTAAGGCTGAATGGGGTTTTCACAGACTGTACCATTCAACGAGAAAACACCACAAATGAATCCACAGAAACCTGCCGTTTACAAGCACCGCTGCGATTCTGTCAAGACAGGAGGAAATCAAAGCTGACGACGACGACGATGAAATGGAATCTGATTGGTGGGTTTTTGCATCAGTCGGTAGGAGGCGGAGTCTGTCATTGTCTGACGTCCCTGTCAGTCACGGAGGGGCGGAGCAACAGACGAGCACAGCTCGATCTCGCGTCTTTACTTCATAGATCTGCGTATAAAAATCATTTGGATAAAGTCTCTCGGGTCATATTCTGATTTGCCTATACCTGCGTATTTACAAACTCAGGACACGCTCACGGCTGTAGTGACGCCTGGTAAACATCTCACGGATAAGTGCTAAGAAACCGCATGTACCTGGACAGAAATAAGAACGCATCATAACAGATAAACACAGCGTAAACTCTCCGGTGCAGTCTAAACACAGAAAAGCACAGGAGGAAGTCCGTCGTAGGAGTGAGAGTTCATGCAGGCAGATGGACACAGGAAGTGGATGTAAACGGCTCAGACCAGAAGCACCATCGTTCCTCCAGCTAATGACGCTCGTCCTGCTCTCCCTTACGCAATATAATAGTTTCTGTATTTCCTTTATAATAAACTTAAGTACAATAAAGTAGAAAAATATTAGAGAACGTATACACAGTTAGTTGTGTGTGGTCTGTAGTGACTCGTATTGTGTGTGTGTGTGTGTGTGTGTGTGTGTGTGTGTGTGTGTGTGTGTGTGTGTGTGTGCTGGGCTACTGGAGCAAGAAGCGCAGTCTTCATTCAGTTCTTCCACCGGCTTGAGTCTCATATCGTCGACGTTCTGTCCATTCCATCTGCGGAGAGAGAACGGGAAAAACGCTTAAAAATATATATATTTAACTTTCGTATTCCCGGGTCATTTTGACCCGCCAAAAAGTGATCTTATAGAACAGTCGTAACATAATATTTTTCAACTAAAACACTATCAGTAATTTCTCATTAATGAGCGAATGTGGAAAAATGTAAAAGGTTTTACCATATTATTACTACATTAACCCCCTTTTTATAAAAAAAAAAAAAAGGCGCAGGATGACGGCACACTGTTATTGGGTGGCGCGGGATGACGGCGAGCTCTGATTGGGTGGCGCGGGATGACGGCGAGCTCTGATTGGGTGGCGCGGGATGACGGCGAGCTCTGATTGGGTGGCGCGGGATGACGGCGAGCTCTGATTGGGTGGCGCGGGATGACGGCGAGCTCTGATTTGGTAGCGCGGGATGACGACGAGCTCTGATTGGGTGGCGCGGGATGACGGCGAGCTCTGATTGGGTGGCGCGGGATGACGGCGAGCTCTGATTGGGTGGCGCGGGATGACGGCGAGCTCTGATTGGGTGGCGCGGGATGACGGCGAGCTCTGATTGGGTGGCGCGGGATGACGGCGAGCTCTGATTGGGTGGCGCGGGATGACGGCGAGCTCTGATTGGGTGGCGCGGGATGACGGCACGCTCTGATTGGGTGGGACGGGATGACGGCACGCTGTGATTGGGGGGCACGGGGTGAAACCGCATGTACCTGGACAGAAATAAGAACGCATCATAACAGATAAACACAGCGTAAACTCTCCGGTGCAGTCTAAACACAGAAAAGCACAGGAGGAAGTCCGTCGTAGGAGTGAGAGTTCATGCAGGCAGATGGACACAGGAAGTGGATGTAAACGGCTCAGACCAGAAGCACCATCGTTCCTCCAGCTAATGACGCTCGTCCTGCTCTCCCTTACGCAATATAATAGTTTCTGTATTTCCTTTATAATAAACTTAAGTACAATAAAGTAGAAAAATATTAGAGAACGTATACACAGTTAGTTGTGTGTGGTCTGTAGTGACTCGTATTGTGTGTGTGTGTGTGTGTGTGTGTGTGTGTGTGTGTGTGTGTGTGTGTGTGTGCTGGGCTACTGGAGCAAGAAGCGCAGTCTTCATTCAGTTCTTCCACCGGCTTGAGTCTCATATCGTCGACGTTCTGTCCATTCCATCTGCGGAGAGAGAACGGGAAAAACGCTTAAAAATATATATATTTAACTTTCGTATTCCCGGGTCATTTTGACCCGCCAAAAAGTGATCTTATAGAACAGTCGTAACATAATATTTTTCAACTAAAACACTATCAGTAATTTCTCATTAATGAGCGAATGTGGAAAAATGTAAAAGGTTTTACCATATTATTACTACATTAACCCCCTTTTTATAAAAAAAAAAAAAAGGCGCAGGATGACGGCACACTGTTATTGGGTGGCGCGGGATGACGGCGAGCTCTGATTGGGTGGCGCGGGATGACGAGGAGCGCTGATTGGGTGAGCTCTGATTGGGTGGCGCGGGATGACGAGGAGCGCTGATTGGGTGAGCTCTGATTGGGTGGCGCGGGATGACGAGGAGCGCTGATTGGGTGAGCTCTGATTGGGTGGCGCGGGATGACGAGGAGCGCTGATTGGGTGAGCTCTGATTGGGTGGCGCGGGATGACGAGGAGCGCTGATTGGGTGAGCTCTGATTGGGTGGCGCGGGATGACGAGGAGCGCTGATTGGGTGAGCTCTGATTGGGTGGCGCGGGATGACGAGGAGCGCTGATTGGGTGAGCTCTGATTGGGTGGCGCGGGATGACGAGGAGCGCTGATTGGGTGAGCTCTGATTGGGTGGCGCGGGATGACGAGGAGCGCTGATTGGGTGAGCTCTGATTGGGTGGCGCGGGATGACGAGGAGCGCTGATTGGGTGAGCTCTGATTGGGTGGCGCGGGATGACGAGGAGCGCTGATTGGGTGAGCTCTGATTGGGTGGCGCGGGATGACGAGGAGCGCTGATTGGGTGAGCTCTGATTGGGTGGCGCGGGATGACGAGGAGCGCTGATTGGGTGAGCTCTGATTGGGTGGCGCGGGATGACGAGGAGCGCTGATTGGGTGAGCTCTGATTGGGTGGCGCGGGATGACGAGGAGCGCTGATTGGGTGAGCTCTGATTGGGTGGCGCGGGATGACGAGGAGCGCTGATTGGGTGAGCTCTGATTGGGTGGCGCGGGATGACGAGGAGCGCTGATTGGGTGAGCTCTGATTGGGTGGCGCGGGATGACGAGGAGCGCTGATTGGGTGAGCTCTGATTGGGTGGCGCGGGATGACGAGGAGCGCTGATTGGGTGAGCTCTGATTGGGTGGCGCGGGATGACGAGGAGCGCTGATTGGGTGAGCTCTGATTGGGTGGCGCGGGATGACGAGGAGCGCTGATTGGGTGAGCTCTGATTGGGTGGCGCGGGATGACGAGGAGCGCTGATTGGGTGAGCTCTGATTGGGTGGCGCGGGATGACGAGGAGCGCTGATTGGGTGAGCTCTGATTGGGTGGCGCGGGATGACGAGGAGCGCTGATTGGGTGAGCTCTGATTGGGTGGCGCGGGATGACGAGGAGCGCTGATTGGGTGAGCTCTGATTGGGTGGCGCGGGATGACGAGGAGCGCTGATTGGGTGAGCTCTGATTGGGTGGCGCGGGATGACGAGGAGCGCTGATTGGGTGAGCTCTGATTGGGTGGCGCGGGATGACGAGGAGCGCTGATTGGGTGAGCTCTGATTGGGTGGCGCGGGATGACGAGGAGCGCTGATTGGGTGAGCTCTGATTGGGTGGCGCGGGATGACGAGGAGCGCTGATTGGGTGAGCTCTGATTGGGTGGCGCGGGATGACGAGGAGCGCTGATTGGGTGAGCTCTGATTGGGTGGCGCGGGATGACGAGGAGCGCTGATTGGGTGAGCTCTGATTGGGTGGCGCGGGATGACGAGGAGCGCTGATTGGGTGAGCTCTGATTGGGTGGCGCGGGATGACGAGGAGCGCTGATTGGGTGAGCTCTGATTGGGTGGCGCGGGATGACGAGGAGCGCTGATTGGGTGAGCTCTGATTGGGTGGCGCGGGATGACGAGGAGCGCTGATTGGGTGAGCTCTGATTGGGTGGCGCGGGATGACGAGGAGCGCTGATTGGGTGAGCTCTGATTGGGTGGCGCGGGATGACGAGGAGCGCTGATTGGGTGAGCTCTGATTGGGTGGCGCGGGATGACGAGGAGCGCTGATTGGGTGAGCTCTGATTGGGTGGCGCGGGATGACGAGGAGCGCTGATTGGGTGAGCTCTGATTGGGTGGCGCGGGATGACGAGGAGCGCTGATTGGGTGAGCTCTGATTGGGTGGCGCGGGATGACGAGGAGCGCTGATTGGGTGAGCTCTGATTGGGTGGCGCGGGATGACGAGGAGCGCTGATTGGGTGAGCTCTGATTGGGTGGCGCGGGATGACGAGGAGCGCTGATTGGGTGAGCTCTGATTGGGTGGCGCGGGATGACGAGGAGCGCTGATTGGGTGAGCTCTGATTGGGTGGCGCGGGATGACGAGGAGCGCTGATTGGGTGAGCTCTGATTGGGTGGCGCGGGATGACGAGGAGCGCTGATTGGGTGAGCTCTGATTGGGTGGCGCGGGATGACGAGGAGCGCTGATTGGGTGAGCTCTGATTGGGTGGCGCGGGATGACGAGGAGCGCTGATTGGGTGAGCTCTGATTGGGTGGCGCGGGATGACGAGGAGCGCTGATTGGGTGAGCTCTGATTGGGTGGCGCGGGATGACGAGGAGCGCTGATTGGGTGAGCTCTGATTGGGTGGCGCGGGATGACGAGGAGCGCTGATTGGGTGAGCTCTGATTGGGTGGCGCGGGATGACGAGGAGCGCTGATTGGGTGAGCTCTGATTGGGTGGCGCGGGATGACGAGGAGCGCTGATTGGGTGAGCTCTGATTGGGTGGCGCGGGATGACGAGGAGCGCTGATTGGGTGAGCTCTGATTGGGTGGCGCGGGATGACGAGGAGCGCTGATTGGGTGAGCTCTGATTGGGTGGCGCGGGATGACGAGGAGCGCTGATTGGGTGAGCTCTGATTGGGTGGCGCGGGATGACGAGGAGCGCTGATTGGGTGAGCTCTGATTGGGTGGCGCGGGATGACGAGGAGCGCTGATTGGGTGAGCTCTGATTGGGTGGCGCGGGATGACGGCACGCTGTGATTGGGTGGGACGGGATGACGGCACGCTGTGATTGGGTGGCGCGGGATGACGGCGGGCTCTGATTGGGTGGCGCGGGATGACGGCACGCTGTGATTGGGTGGGACGGGATGACGGCGCGCTCTGATTGGTAGTACCTCCTAAGGCGTGCTCTGTCATGCTGAGGCACAGAGACTCCAGCGTGGGGTTGATCTCCAGATCCGTCCCCGGAACTTGGCATTCTGGGAACGAAAACAAGAGTATGTGATCAATCCAAGGCTTTGTGTGTAGACATTGCACGGCAAAATTCATAATCGTTAGTATTGCGCTTTAAAGGCTGAAATGTGAGTTTTATCATTTTATAAAACTTTTGTCAAAACTTGTATCATTTGAACAGGTAGTAATATGTTGGATCATGTAGTAAGTCACCCAACCTACCTTGTTCATTTAAAATCTGGCAGTCATTGTTAATGTTATTTATTTTATGCCGCGATTTTTATTTGTTGTTTGATGATTTTTATCATAAAACTTGATGAAATTATTTCAGTGTGCATCAGTGCTTCTTCCAGCACATTTTAGCAGTTCAGTGATAATACTCATACTGTGATCATTTTAGTCAATAATCATGACATTTACATACCATTTCTTCTATAGTTTTAAAAGCTATGTGTTCGTCTGTATGCATACCATAAACATTCACATCAAAACAGACTTTGTCCTTGCGAAGTCAGCAGTGTAAGCAGACAGCAGCGTCTGAGGAACAGCAAGTACCTTGTTGCTGGAACAGGAGCATGGTCTGAGGAGACGTGTGAACTGGAAGTGAATGAGTTCTCTGCACCGAACTTCTGCTCTGGCTCGGCATGCTGTTACTGCCTCCAAGATTCCCAAACCACAGATTCTGAAACACACCATCACACCAAACACTGTCAGCTACTTGAGAACCAGGATCTGTCTGTGATTGAGAGTTTAGAGTGTTTCATCCAGTCAAAGCTCTTTTAGTGTAATTGTAGAAATGTCCAGCTTCAGCTGGAGCTTCTCGTGTCAGATCTGGACTGGTTTTGATCAAGTAAGCGTCAGAATAACGTCAGTAATATCTCCAGATGAACTCTTACTGGACTGAAGCAGCTCAGCTTTACTTGATTCTCCATCAATCATGTTTTAGAGTCTCAAATCTGATCCTCAGGATCTTTTGAGGAGCGTTTGTTTCCAGAAGCTTTACTTTCACTGTTCCTCAGCGGAGGAATGATCTTCACAAGCCTCCAGAACATCTCACATCTTCTGAGGAGCCTTTATTTCTTCAGCTCTCAATCACTGCATTATATGTTTCGAGCATTTCACTCTCATCTTATATTACTGGAGATATAGAGCGACCGCTAATATTTATAGCATTTTATGTCAGTATCTGCGGCACTGTTATAAAGATCTCATTGATTTAGATCAGAATTTCATCATAAATATCAGCATCTGCAGCAAACTCATATTTTTGCTCAGTTTGAGTAAATTTGAGCTGTTTTTTCCTTCATATTCTCACTGTATCAG